TGCCTTGATCAATACATCGCCCATGAGGGCTTCCTGAGCCTAGGCATTAGTGTGATTAACAGGTGATGGACACTGGCTATGTGGATCTCAGCCACAGCACCTTCATAGCTGCCAAGTTCCTGGTGGCAATAGAAGCCAGGTTTTCAGCACCAAACCATCATCAAGTTCTTTGAGAGCTGAGAAATTCCCATAATATTGCCCAGGTTTATCTGGTTTTTACTAATTGTGTGACAATTGCTAGACTCTCTGAATGCATAATGAACTACAGGACATCTGATTTTCAGAAATCAAACAGCCCCAAGTGATGGATATGAGACATGAATAGCACTATTTTCCTGTTTTGGTAACTATTTTCACATTAAACACACCACATTAATGTGGGTGCGCTGAGCAATGATGGGCACTGGGAAAGTTATGCTGTCATTAAAGGGAGACTCTTGCCCCACTATCCCTAAAGCATTATGGGGCCAACCTCCACCAGAACTTTATAAATCTTGCTAAAACCTTTCTTTGTCATTATGTCCTAAGAGTGACATACAGAAAGAACAGTATCATACAGAACAAGAACACAACATGTTACAGGCCAATCAATCCACTTCTGTGTCTGGCAAGATCATGGAGCATATCCTCCTCAAAATCATGCTAAGGCACATGGAGAATGAGGAGGTGATTGGTGACAGCAAGGGCAGATGGTGCCTGACTAATATGGTGGCCTTCCACCATGGATGACCACGACCTTGGGGGATAGAGGAAGGGCAACCGATATAATTTACCTGGACTTGTGCAAAGCCTTCAATATTGTCCCACATGATATCCTTGTCATCTCTAAACTAGAGAGACATGGATTTGACAGTTGGACTGCTCGATGGATAAAGAACTGGCTGGATGGTCACACTCAGAGAGTGGTAGTCAATAGCTCAATGTCTGAGTGGAGACCAGTAAAAAGTGGGGTTCTTCAGGGGTCAATGTTGGGACCACTGCTCTTTAACATCTTCATTAGTGACATAGATGATGGCATTGAGTGCAATCTCAACAAGTTTGCTGACGACACCAAGTTGTGTGGTATAGCTGACACACTTGAGGGAAGGGATGCCATCCAGAGGGACCTGGACAGGGACAGGCTGGAGAGGTGGGCCACTGCCAACCTCATGGAGTTCAACAAGGCCAAGTGCAAGGTCCTGCACTGGGTCAGTTCAATCCCACATTCAAGTACAGGCTGGGTGGAGAACGGGTAAAGAGCAGTCCTGGGGAGAAAGACATGGGGGTACTTGTGGATTAAAAGCTGAACGTGAGCTGGCAGTATGCTCTGGCAGCCCAAAAAGCCAACCATATCCTGGGCTGTATCCGGAGAAGTGTGGCCAGGAGGTCAAGGGAGGGGACTCTCCCCCTGTACTTTGCTCTGGTGAGACCCCACCTGGTGTTCTACATCCAGCTGTGGATCCCTCAACATCAGAAGGATATAGAC